TTACGCCACACAAAATGTGATTTACAACTCTTTTTAAGTCTTTCCATTCCGAGTTCCTTATTTTCAGCTCTTACATGTGCGATTATTTTAATATCACTATTACTATTAAGTAAATCTGATAATATAAAAGCACCAAGAAATCCTGTTACACCTGTAACGAAAAATACTTTTCTTTGATAATTTTCTGGGATTGGTAAATAATTCTGTAATAAATATTTAGATGCTAATATTTCTACATCATTTGCATAATTTATTTCAGATTTTCCGTATCCTTTTTCAATAATTGAACAAGGAACTGAAGCAATATTATCTGGTGTTTGAGTTTCAGAATTCTCATCAACAAAATCAAGTTCACCTCTTAAAACAACATCAATTTCATTAGCTTGCTCACGAATAGTAGGTTTTTCAAATACTAATCCAAGTGGAATATTTACACCACTTGTTTTTCTTAATTCAAAGATTAATCTTGTAGCTAATATTGAATGTCCTCCTAAATCAAAGAAATTTTCATCTAATGGAATAAATGGAGTTGGTGGATTTGGAAGTAATTGTGTCCAAATCTTATGAACTGTTTGTTCAGATTGTGACATTTTTTGAATTTTTGCGGCTGTAGATGTTGATACGAATTTTGCGGTATCAGGGAATGGTAATGCTTGTTTATCTACTTTACCATTAGGTGTTAATGGCATTCTTTTCAACGGAACAAATACTGTCAAAAAAATAAAATTAAGAATCAGCAAAATAAAACGTGTATTAAATCAATATAAATCATTTTTAAATTACCGCTTGGAACACTGTAAGCAGGCAACTTCATCTTTAAATAATCTTTAATTTGTTTTATAAGTCTCCTATATTTTCGTTTTTCAACCACATCTACGGTATCGCTTTCATCGGCAGAGCTCAGAAAACCTTCTAATTCACTACCTTGAAGGGGTACAAAATAACAAACGAGAGTTTGTTCTTCATATTTGTCTCTCCTCACTAACGTGACATTTTCTCTAACAAGTGGATGTTGTGATAGATGAGTGTCGATTTCTCCAAGTTCAATACGGAACCCACGAATTTTAATTTGATCATCAACTCTTCCAGCACATTCGACTAAATAATGGTAACATATTGGTTAATAATAAATTAAAACAATCAAAAGTATATAAAGTATAAATTATATATAAAATATTACCATCTCCATTAGTTCGGTACCTTCCTAAATCCCCAGTTTTATATAACCTATCTCTTTTTCCTTTCCAAAAACGTTTCCATTCTTGCATATCATTATCATCATCCTTTAACATTTCTTCGTTTTTCTCGTTAAACCAATTTGTTAAAAATTTTTCGTTTGTAACTTCATCCAATCTTAAATATCCTTCAGCTAATCCACCAGCTCGAACATAAATTTCACCAATTTCACCAACACCACATAAAATATTTTTATTACGCCTGTTAACCACTAGTAATTGTACATTTTGCATACCTTTACCAGCTGGAATAATATCTTTTTGTGATTCCAAAAATGTTGGGGTAGATGATAATGATGGAATTAGAAAATATGAAACTGATCGTTGTGTTTCGGTTGTACCATACATATTAATAATACAAGTGTTTGATGCTAAATGTTGAAGTCGGTTACAATCACGTTTTGTTAGGATGTCACCAACGAAAAATGCATTTCGGAGTGTTGGAATCGGTGTGGTGGCATTTGCAGAAAGTAATTGACCCATTGCTTTATAGTAATTAATAGTATTTTTTTATAGAAAATTAGTTATTATTATAAATAATATAAAGGCTCTACGAACAAATTGAGAGGGTAATATAATACCAGGAGTTAGATGTGTAATAGTGACTTCATGTTCAGCCATCCATTCAGCCAATCTTCCAGGAATACCAATATCTTCACTAGTTGGAACGTGTAATTCAGCGCCGAGAAATAAAGGTGTAAAAACTAAAATAATAAAATAAAGTTAAGATTATAATTTCAATTTTATAATTTTATAATAGATTAAATGAAATACTTACTATCCCTTTGAATCGGATCATGAGCGATACCACTTAACATGGTAAATCGATCTTTATCGGAAAGACCAAATTCCTGAGACATCCATGGATAATAATGAGTGAG